GCTTTTTTTAATGGGAATCGACACAGGCTGTGCTAACAACACAAAAGTATGCAAAGCTTCACACAAGCAGAGAAGAACACAACCTTTGTATATTTTGTCTTTGTCTCACTTCAATCATAGTCTAGCCAACCCTGTTCTTGCCTATATTACAAGTAGTCTTCAATGAAAGATGAAAAAAAAAAGGGTTTTTTCTTTCTGTTTTTTCTTTTGGTGCCTCTTTCTGTGCTTTGCATTGGTAATTTCCATGAAGACAAGCTACTTGGGTAGCAGTTCTTCAAAAACCTGCTTTTGCAAGCCTGTCAGGGCGTCTCACTAGAGAAACCAAGGGCAGCGCTTAGGACCGGTGTACTGTGAGCACACCCATTGCTGCCTGCCAGGCTCACCTTGCTTCCCAGCTGTGCTGGCTGTTTCCCTTCAGAGCCACTCCGCTCCTCTGCTGAGCAACCGGGGCTCAGAGCACTCTCCGAGGCTATCGGCCCACCGAGCCTGTCCTCCGCGTTTATCACAGCTCTACCCCCGGTTTTGTCACTGTATCCTTCAATCCCCTCTCTCCCCATAAAAGTGTCTAGCTGTCTCTTAAACTCACTTTACCATTTGCTTCTTTGACCTCACTTGGCAACTTATCCTTGTGTTTATTATTTGAGGCGGAATAGTTCTGGCTACATTCCTGGGTTTACTCTTAATTGTCTAATTTTTAGGATGGTGTCAGTGGGGTTGGGATTTGGGTTTGGGCTTTTTTTAACTCATCAGTATTGTGACCAGGTCTTCTGTTTCATTGGGCTCCTTTGTGTCATTGGGACTTCCAATAACTAAAAGAATCCTAATGAATCTTTTATTGGATCTTCCCAAATATTGCAGCTGGGCTTTCTTGTCCATTAGTGCCACTCCGTACTGCGTACACTGCCCTTAATTACTTTTTTGTTAATTGGAGGGGAGGGAGGGACGAGGAGGATTTTCCCCATGCAAGGAGGAGTTCCCCAACTAAAAAGCTGAGTGATTCTCCCTGCCTGTCCTTGCCCCAGGAGGAAGGTACAACCAGCACTCAAGCAGGACTGGGCAACAGGACTTTTCCACGTCCTCTGGCAGCGTACCTCTGCCTTCCGGTTGCCTCCACATACCCACCTTGTGCTAGGTCCAGGCAGCTCTGGGGTGCGGGGCTGCAGGCACCTTCTCGGAGCCCCCTGATCCACTCCAGAGCCTTGCTGGGCTTTTGGACAAGGTGCTGGGAGCAGCTTGCTTACCACGTTGGATTTTCTGTCAGGTCACACTGATGACAGGAAAAGACTGCACAGGACAGGGTTTTCTCAGTGCCTGTCTGGGGAAAGGGAAGGAGGAAGAAACACTGGTTTCAGGCACCTACCTGCATCTCCAGGAACTGTTCCCAGTTGCTGTAAGGATGGTTGGTGGAGCAGTGAACTGAGTCCTTACTGACACCGTGAAACAGATAAGCCTGGTTGGGGCGGCTTCTAAAACGAGCAACTCACCTAGCCCACCAGGGAAAGAGCAGGAAAGAGCCACTTCTTTGCGAGGCCCTCCCTTCCCTGACAGGGATCAGTGCAGGTCTGAGGGACGGGCTGCCTTCAGGCTGGTTGCCTAACGGCAGCAAGACAGCGCCTCTGTACCGCTGCTCGGTCAGTGCAGTCCACACCAGCAGCAGACCCTGGGGTTACAACTCCGGCATGTTCGCTCTCGTGTTTTCCTAAAGCAGAAGGCACTCTTTGCTCGATTCACCTAACTGGAAAAAAACTGCTGCACATGAACCCTTGAATCTCAGCTCACACCATCAGAGAGAGAAGAGAGCACGTTCATTTCCTACCCAACACATCTTGTGCATCACGAAGTGACAAGAAAAAGTAGAAGTGTTATCTATAGGATTAACATTCTCCATTCTGGGGGGCTACAGGAAGGAAGCTGCAGGACAGGGATAGTGTGCCCATCACAGTAAGACATTAACCACCAGCCAAAATAACATCGGTCACTATTTTCAGTTTAAGAACAGAGGGCAGAGGCATAAAAGATTTGCTCAATTAATCGTGGGATTGAAAATTTTCCAGAGAGCTAAGGATACTTGTAAGATCTAATAGAGTGCAGCCCCCTCATCCTTCACGTGGAGGTCAAGCTCACAGACACTCGGCCTGCTGAGCAGTTTCTGCTTGCCGCAACATGAGGAATTGCATGCTGCAAGAACCAGTGTCTGGGGGCTGCTTCTGAGAAATTCAGATAGTAAAGCACTTCAGTAAAGGTGGCTTACCTTGCTGATAGAATCCTGAAAAGAGGGAAATGAAAGGGAGAGACATAAAATAGCTTTCATGACAAAGACTGTAAAATAACTAGAAATAAAAATCTAAAAAACCTTGTAAACATTCACCATTGTCCTCACTACTTGGCGGGTCGGGGGATGTAATTCTCATCAAACAGCAGAGCAGCAATAAGTACTTTCCTTGAAAAAGTGGCGACAGCAAAAACAAAAGGACATGCTCTGTCACTCCTCAACGCACGCTTCATTTTTCGTAGCCATCTACCATGATTATTTGGCATGCAATTCGCCAAGCAGCAAAACCACGGCTGTAGTTATTTACAGGTCACTGGAAGTCTGGCCTGTGCTGCAGCAGAGTTTTGGTTGTATTTCACAAAAGATAGTTTTATTTATGTTTGACTAATGCAGGCACAACTGGAGGCTGATTTTTCTTTTTTTGGCCTGTAGTATAAACACTCGTGGCAGCTCTCTATTTTGGGTGCAGACTGAAAAACAGATTGTTTTGTAGTTGTAGAAGACTGCAGGGTAAATCAGAGGACATTGTTATTGCGACTGAACTTTTCTCTCAGGAAAGCAGGAGGAGTTGCTTTATTTTTAATTCTGTGCAGTTTTATGTACACCATTCGCTCCAAATATTTGATGTTTGCCACACTTGCTATGAGTTTCTCCAGAGAGATGCTGTCTTCTGGCAGCAAAAGATAAAGTTGACTGATACAAATGAGTCACAGTACCCCAACAGTAATTAACAGTGATGCAATACCCATGCGAAAAAGAGGACTTGAAGAATTAACTGTTGAGTTTTCTTGACGATGCAGCTGCACTTTAAGAGAGAAAGCTCAACCCATCATAGAACTCCATTGTGTACATTAGAGAAAAAAGCTTGGCAAGATACATTAAAGATTTTTGCTAAAGAGATACAAATATTTTGCAAGGTCAAAGGGCGCCGAGGCAGGCTGTACTTACTTCCAAAGAAAAGTAGGCAGTATGACAAAGAAACAGTAATATTTTTTTATCTTCATGTTCA